CCTCCCCCCCCCCCTCATCGCGAATGAGATTCTTCGCCCCCTTTGCACGCTTCTTCGCGCGATCCAAAGATGGGCGTCTTTGTTACACTCTCTTGTGAGAGAGACTGCTCTCTAAATTTCTTGGAGTGAAATCTTACTATCGAAAATGAAAAATGAAACAAGACAACTGCAGCAAGGAGGCCTTGATGCAGGCAGAGATATTGAAAATTTCCAATCAGACTCATCACTTCTGAATATTTGCGTATCGTAACTGCTTCTTTGGAACATCGTCTCATTGGGAATAATCAACAGTTATGATGTATGAATTTTCGGATATAATGCGTCTGATTAGAATTTTCGATGTCGCAATGCCTAGGAAGCAAGACTGCATTAGTAGTCTTCTGTAAGTCAGATTCGCTCTTCGATTTCGAGAAAAAAATATTAATTCGACGATTTAGAGTGAAGGATTCACCCTGTATAAATGAAAAGTCACTCAAATTCGGGTGACTCGATGGTCTGCTCTGCTTTTCAAATGAAATTTTATTCTAAGAAATTTAAAAAACAGGAACGATAATAAGGATCTGCAGAACTAACATACGCATTTTTCTCTCCACTGATACAAGATTACACGGAAAAAGATCTCAGTTCACATAACTATATATAGGGGCCGGACGAAAATTCGGTGACAAGAAGCGAAATCTCTGTTATCGCGACCGGAAATATTTGTCTGAATATTCGGCTGCGTTGAAACTCGGTTGAAATAACTGAGAACAATCGACTGAATACAAATCTCCTACAGGAATCTTTCTGTTCCTATAATATCGAGTTTTCGTCTGGTACTCAAGCATCCCAAGTGGAAGTTCGGTTACACTAACGTAGTTGTCTTTTCTATGCATGAATGTGAAAAATTGTAACGGCAAGGAGCGACAGCGACGTTTCTCTGCGGTTGAGCAAATTAGATAGATCAAGTAGTGAATTGATTTCTCATATTTTTTTCTCGCTAGAAACTTGTCGTCTATAGAATAACGGTCATCGATGCGTACATGACTGCCTCTATATAGAAAAAAGACTCGGTAACCGAATGGAAGACGAAAACTCGGTAACAAGAAATGATAACTCTGTTGCTGCAATCGAAATTGAACATTTGGCTGGTTGAACTTTGGTTGAGATAATTGAGAGCAATTGACTGAATAGAAATCTACAAAAATCGTTCTGATGATTATTAATCAGATGATCAAATTTTTCCTCGATGAGTTTCGCAACGCATCCAGTATCTAATAGAAAAATTTGTTTCTCAGTAATTCTCAGGAGGATACACTTTTTCCTATTATATATATAGAACACTTTCTGTAAATATCGAAATAAAAATTTAGACAGATTATTTTCTTCTCACGTCGTATACGACACGTAGAAGCTAGTAAGTCAATCATGACATACAAAAATGTTTATATCCAAAAAACAGTTGAGCTTTTGACTTGTGTTTACTAAGATCTTTTTACTCAGTATAACGTGTACTATCTACCATATAAATATTGAATGATTTTTTTTAACATTCTGAATATATAAATAGAAAAATTTCTGAAAGAGATTCTACTTCTAAGTTTTCGTTCTAGTTTCTAGTTTTCGAAACTACTTCTTAGTTTTCGTCTGCACTGCAGAAAAAATAATTAATTCTTACGGAAAATTGTAGTCATTTTTTAAGCCAATTATGCCTTCTTGTTACTCTAACAAAAGAGTAGTAACAGCAATATGCACGTAAGGTTATTATCAGTGACATTACAAAAATAATTCTCCCGACAATAATTCTTTTTTCTATGTGATTATATTGGGTTGATGGGACGAAAATTGGTTCCATTTTTTAATCAGTCCTTTGCATAGAAATCCCAGAATGTTTACGAATATGGGATCGTGCAGCTCGGAGAGCTGGCAGATCTACATCGAATAAAACGCTTAATTAATTTATTGAATTTTCAAACAGATAAATGTTATATATATATTTTGATTAAAAAACGGGACGAATTTTTACGTCAACTCAATTGTTACAAACACTTTATTCTTAGTGTGGTCCCCTGGTAACAGTAGATTCAGTCGCACAAGCCGAGTTCTTTTTTCCGTGTACAGTCGGCGTCATGTACGTTGTATCATTTCCTAGACGGAAATTACACAATTTTCAGCCTTATACATAAGGTTCAAAAGCAATTCCAGTTGTAATGGTAAGATTACAATAGCTCTAATTGTAACGATTTAAGTGCACCTCGTATCCAACGAGAAAATGTATTTCTTGAGAGTTACTGAAAAGAACGAATTGGACACGGGAAACTTTGCGAAAAAAATGTTGCAACTTTTAATCTGACTGACTGAAATTCATGTAATTTTCGCTCGAGAGAAATGGTACAACATATACATGACGCCGATTGTATTTGAATGAATGATAATAAGAATATACGGACGATCGCATGGCAAATTCGTCGCTCCATTTCATAGATGTGATAATGCATTCTCCGACATTAGACAGCCGAATCGAGTCCGCGTACCTGGCGAGCGTCCAAGTACACGGTCAATATGGATATTCGTCGATCGTTTTGTATCAAGGAATAGAAATTTGAACTCGCGATATATACGTCGGTGACATCCCGAGCTTTCGCTATCTCGTAATACTGGGTAATCCGAATCACAGCGGCGTGTTCCGAGAATCCTCACTGCCAATTATGAGACTGACACTGCGTGTACAAAACGCAAAATCCGTCGCGCGTAAACATCGTGGCGCTTTAATTTCATCACGTAGAACGGATTTAGAAAGATATGAGCTTGTTAAAAGTCAGTCAAACTTTGCTTGTTATCATAGATCAAGGAATTCATTTAATACGAAATCTACTATGTATTAACGATAAAAATATATTTGTAAAGTTAAAAAAGATAAAGATATATAGAGCTGTTGCTGCCATTCTGCGGCGTGTGTCGTCACGGAGCTGTGGTTTTTTGTGGAGGAATTGCGAATGACCCAGTTGACATTTTTAAAGGAACATTTGAAACGTCGATTTGTGAGTGAATTTTGGAAATTTTATTTGAAAAAGACATACAATTTCGAAGTGAATGAATATTTATCTTGAGGTCGATAACGAGTACAATTTCTTTCGACTTTTCACAAGTTCAAACCCTCTCTAGCCCCCTTAATTCGCACAGTACACGCGCAGTACGATTCCGTATTGTCTCAGCGCAAACTTATTAGATCGCGAGATATTCGCTGCATAATATCAATGAGTTATCTCGAATGAAAGAAAGAAATAAGAAAGCCATTCCGCAGGTGCAGTAGTCACTGCGGTAAAAAAAAAACTCTTTCGAGGCAACGCGCAAACAACATTCATGAAAATGGATGATTACTTCACTCCGGAGGGTTTTCCATTCGAACGATATTATCTCGTCGAAATGTATGTTGGATCGATATCGTAGTAGAAAACGCAGAGCCCGATTATTTTGTCAACGACCGCGTGCCAATGCGCGTGAATTCTGTCATAAATAGCTTTGCGGAATGCAGACCGATGCAAGTCGGATTATGGCAACATTTTGATCATCCTAAAGCTATACTCGCAGGTATTTCGTCAGAGACGGTGGAGTATTGACAGAAAGTGAAACGGAAAGCGTTCGTGCAAGTTCGTGAAAATGATCTGAGGCCGTGATACAATCTTATCAGGTTAAAATCGTCTCAAGTTCATCTCCAGATGCTCTGTAGATAGAATGTCAACGAAACGATCAACATCTGAAGATGAACTTCAAACCATCTTAAAGTGTCCTCACTTTGGCTGTCCTTATTTGATGACGTCAGAAATCGCATGCCAAAATATATGTGCCAAAGTGAGAACACAGCAGTCTTAAATATAAAATTTAACTATGAATACCGTCCTAAGACTGAACGATCCAGGCTACTGACGGATTTATATAGAAACTAGTAGAGACGCTGGGGCATTAAGGCCCTTATTGAAAGGAGGACCAATCCCCTCTTTTCATTTGCTTACTCGCAGTTAAAAAGGTTCCTAAAATAGTATTAGCATCAGGCTCCAAAAAGTCACTGTCCGCCACTGATCAAGATTCTTCGTTAGCAAGTCGTTAAAATAAAATCAAAAAAGGACTCGTACTAGAACTGCCTGAGTGTTTCGATCATCATTATTTCACCAAAGAAGATCGGAATGACGGTCGAAACTAGTTCGTTTCAACAGCTATAGAAGGAGTCCTTTTAGGTGCCCTTTTTTTTATTTTATTTCATCTTCACGAATAATTGCGTTTTGCAACTGAGATCTTGCGTTATGCTCTTCCCGAGTCGAAATTTAAGATAGCAAAATACATTTCATTCTAATGATAATTTACTCTTACTTTGATCACACACGATGATGTTTTAAGTTTTCGTTGGTTTTAGCGGTAAAATAGGTTGTTTTGAATATTTATATGAATTTAAGAGGATCATATTAAACTAACGGAAGCGATTTCTATTCTCTGTTGAATAGTTTACTTCGCTATCGATAATACACACACGTGGGAAAAATAATTTCACTGTACATAGAGGTTTTATCGTGCGAGACGTATTGAAATTGTAAAAAGATATTTGCGAAGAATAGAATCGAAATCTGTTTAATTTATGTACAGTTTCGAGTTACGTTCAAAGCGGGAGCGGAAACGGATTTCGGTGAGAATATTATAGTTATTACGAATTACACACATAGTGATAATCAGACTAGTGGTATACACAACAATGATATCCGATTGGTGAAAACGAAGAAATACACAAATATGTTTTATAGAGCAGAGATGGAATGATTGAAAGTCCGCGAGTCTGCGTACATTACAGCGCAAAGAGAACTCGAGTTTGCGCATACGCAATCTTCGTTGTTACCACATGATCTCGCAGGGGATCACGCATGGGATTGTTGTGAATGGCGATTTGCGGTCGCGGTGATATTACATTTTGAATCGTCCTGCCGCGACGTCAAATATGTCAAAATGTGCAATATTAAGTACTTTGGTATCAAGGCTCAATTGTTGTTATTGTTCGGTAAGCTTTCAGCGTAATATATCAGTTCGCCAACAGAGACGCATATTATAGTGTGAATAAAATAGATGGTTGAAGTAAGATATTATTAAATGAGACTTGTGGGTTTCTTTTAATATAAGGATTTCTTTCAAGGAGATGATATATAGTTATGTGATTAATATTATGTTACTATTATATATATAGAATTTATTAATAATAATTATTTAAATTATATCGTATTAATTTATCATCGGTAAACTGTGTGCAAACTTGCAACACGCGTCTTTACTTACATTGTATTAGGTTGTTCGGGAAGTTCATCTCAAATTTCGCGCGCTTCGCGTTGCTATGGTAATCAATGAGAATGAATGCGGTCCAAACGATTTTGTTTGACAACAAATCTTCCCGAATCTGTGAGCCTGCCGAGGGAACTTCGCAGGCCTTCTTAACTGCAAACATTTCGGCAGAAATCAGGTGGAAAGATGGAGAACCAGAAGGTCCATTTTTACTATGTGATGCTGGATTGCTTCCATATACTCGTATATATATATATATATATATACACACATGCATACAGAGTGCAGCATTTAAATTGAAACACTCTAATATAACAAAAACTAAGTAAAATGGAAGGAAATGTTTCAGATAAAAATTGGAGGGGGATATATTTTGGTGACCTCAACTTCGTTGTATTGTCAATAATTCAAGGTCAACTTAATTTTTTTCATAGGAGTATAGTAGTAGTAGTAGTTTTCATAGGATTATAGTAGTTTTTTTTTTTTTTAATACAGATCGATTTATCTGTTCATTCTGCGTATATAAAAATATTAAGATGAGGTGATCAAAAAGTGAATACTTTGTGAGATAGAAGTTAAAATCGTCAAAATATGTCTCTTTCCAAACCCTATAATTTATGTCTGAAACATTTCTATTTTGCTTTATTTTTTTTAGACGTCTCAATATAAATGCTCCACTTTACATATATGTATATAAGCTATAACTTTTTTATTACTTCTGTACCGAAATACCAGTGCAGTGTGAAGAGTGTTTGTAATAGAATGCCGTGACGAATAAGAAAAAAAAAAATAGAAATATATCCAGAATAAATCCACTGTCACTATTTTCCTTTTTTTACACTAACTATAGACGATATAAAAACATGTTGATTATTAAAAATTGTTGTAAAATACGCGATGAAAGAAGGAGATAACACTCAATGTTATATAATATATACGAATGCGAAATTGTAACATAAATATAACTGATGCTCGATGTTGACTGAGAAGTTACGAAATTTAACGTTCACGACTCTTTAATTGATCACATCTTTTATACTCCTTGTTATGCGTGGGTTTTTTTTTCTATAAACAAAACTGAGCGATACTAATCAAAGTTACGAATGCATTATTTTGCGTGATTATAAATTTTATTAGATGAATAAATAAATAAATAAAGTTTATTTATATGAGAGAAGACTCGCTTATAAATTTCTATAGAATGTCAGCGTAAAAACAGTGATATCGCAATATAATCTCTCCGTGTATGATAACGTGATAATTGCTGATACGTGCGATATAAAAAAGATATCCCGAAGTCACTTATTACGACATAATCCTCAAAGAGTTTCGTCGAGTACTATTCTTACCTCGATTACAACTTGTCGGCGAATTATTCGAATCGATCGACAGATCACCGTTCGTACATACGCGAGTCCTTTATTTGCAGCGTGATGTTGCGCGACGATTGGCCGGCCTGCTAGCGAGTAAATGTCTGTAAACGCCAGTAATGTACCGTCATGGCGACGCTGCCGCCACGAAAAAACCCAACTCCCACAAAAATTTCGAAACAGCACCTGACACCTCTGCAAACACTCCTGCAGCTGGGCTTCCCGAAACACCGAGCGTACGTATATGATGCTGTGACATGTGATCGGCCGTGTTACTCGGCAATGCGCGTGACTCGTTAATTGTAAACAAACAGCTGTCAAACGTGACCTTGAATCGCGAAAACATTTGATACATAAAGTAGTCCCGCTTGTATTCGATCTGAAATATTTGTCAGGGAGAAGGCGTTAGCTGCGACAGGACATCGTGGTGTGCAGTTGGCATCGGACTGGCTGCTGGCTCACGTGCGCGATCCAACATTGGACTCTGACACACAACGGCAGTACGTTCTATACGCTTGTCCCATCGGACCGTTGGCTAAACAGCTCGAGCTCTTTTGGTCGGAAAGTAAAGAACTGGGGTGGAACGGTGCTCACAACTTTATACCGCACATCACTCTTGTTCCCTCCTTCAACGTAAGATTACTTCTCTTAACTTGCATTTAATTTGACAAAGTATTCGATTGTAAATATTTTGACAGGCTCCCGACAAATTCACCGAAGAATTAGCGAATGTTCTCGAGGATGTGGCATATCAGGACAGATTGCACGAGCATATCGAGCTAGAGACGTATGTATCGCCCAACTTCATGGGCTTCTTTGTGAAGGATGTCAATGCGGAATGGCTGAGGAATATCGCTGTTTGCTACGTGAATAAACTCGCCACTCTGGGTGTCACCGCCGAGCCGCAAGTAACGTCTCTGCACCTCACGCTGGCTTACCAGTTCCCCAGCAGCTTGTTTCCGTCCCTTCGCTCAACAGTCGAGAAGTTAAGTCCGAACACGCCGGCCAACTGGGAGCTCAGGTTATACTCGAGGGACTCGAGACTGCAGAATCTGCACGTGCACAAAGTGACACACGCCCACGTGCCCCGGGAGCACGACGAGCTGGAATTACGAGTGGGTGATTACATCTACATCCGGGAGGGTGCATGCAACGTGTCCACGGACGGTTGGGTGGAGGGTATCTCCTGGTTGACCGGCACGTCCGGTCACCTGCCGTTGAATCACACGAAGAGAACCGCGGAGTCGGACTCGTGGACGCTGCACGTCACCGTAATGCTCACCGACGATAAACGATGCGCGGAGGAGGGAGAGGTGGTGCCGCGATTCAGGAGGCCGCCGGTCCTGTCTCCGAGCGAGTCCGCAGATACCACCGACGGCATCGAGCAGCCGGTAATCGAAGGATACGAGGTGAGTCGATCGGCGGACCTGCCTAATCTAATCTATATCCGTCCCGAATGGCAGATGGCAGCGTCGAGGGAGATCTTCATATGTCGACACGGCGAGAGGGTGGACTTCACTTTTGGCTCGTGGATCCCGTACTGCTTCGAGTCGAACGGCTGCTACGTGCGTCGTGACTTGAACATGCCCAAGGAGATACCGGCCCGGAATATCCAGGACTTCCAGAATGACTGTCCCTTGACCACTGTTGGCGAGATGCAGGCGAACTTAGTAGGCGAGGCCATGAAGTCCGCCAGTGTTAAGATAGACGTTGCCTTCGCGTCGCCTTCGTTGCGTTGCGTTCAGACGCTTGCTTACATCCTGAAGGGCTTGCAGTCGGACGTTCCCATCAAAGTGGAGCCAGGCCTCATAGAGTGGTTGGCGTGGTATCCGAACGGCATACCGCTTTGGATGACCTCCGAGGAGTTGATGAAAGCCGGCTTCAACGTGGACACCGATTACGATCCGATCGTGAAGACGAAGGAGCTCCCGCCGAAAGAGAACGCTGCGCAGTATTATGAGCGGAGTTACGACCTGATCAAGAAGATCATAGAGAGCACGGATGGTAATATCTTAATAGTGGCGCATGCAGCTTCCCTGGCCGCCTGCACCAAACAATTGACCGGTGGTAGGATACCCCCGGCGGCTGAAGTCACTAGATTAGTTCAGAGAGTGCCTTACCTCGCGTGTTTAACCGCTCGCCAAGGTCTCGACGGCTGGCAGCTGCATCCTCCTCCTTTCCCGCCGATCACCCACACCGGTAACAGCAGATTCGACTGGAAGGTTCTCACGTCATGAACGATGTACTATTTACGAGCTTCCTTTTTAAGAAGAGACAGAGCCTATATTTACGAAAAGACTGTTCTAAACTCGATGCATTTTTCCCTGACATTGAGAACTATACAGTATTCAACGAATTGAACAAAGAGAAGAAAAACAAGATTTCTCGGAAGACTATGCGAAGTATGATAATAGCTAGTCGATCGATCGACCGATCGTTAAGACAACGATGCTTATTTCCTCAGAGGATGATCGATACGGGTATTCAGAGGTATAGTTTTGTCCCATTTATTATGAATATATAGAGCGAACACTAGCCAAAATGTTATCGTTAGTACATTATATACGCGCACATATAATGTACTAATCTGCTAAATGTTTAATATATAGACAATGTACTAGTCTTAATTCGCGACATTTCTTTGCCGAACTTTCGAGGAGGTATTAAAGAAAGAAAAAAAAAATACTAATTTAATACTTTTTAATGAATGTAATTTTATTAATGTATTTTCCGATCAGCATTCGTGTATTTGTCGTATTGCTCTTTGACATGTTATATATGTTAAATAATATATCTGTATTAAACTTATATGACCACATAGGAAATCGGCACATATATGCACGTTATTCATAATTATCTATTCATAGAGAAATACGCGAACCTCAGATAATCAAGTTACTTAAAATATTTAAAGATACGACCTGTCTGTTAAGTATGACATCTAATTTAATACTGTGTGCAGTTACATGCAGAGTGAGAATGTACATACACATGGTATTCCAAGCCTCATCACTTTCATTTCACGTTCTCTCAACAATTTGGAAATAATTTTTTTTTTCGTTGAAAATATCGAGGGAAATCATTATTCATAGCGACTTTTCAATTATCAACGTAATTTATCTTTGTGACTAAAACTTAAGCTAAACTGTTACGAGCCCACTCGAAATTGATCGAAGAAAATCTTGTTATCTATTTAGTCGTTTGATTGACAAAAAACTTTATTTTTACGATTGTTAATATCTCGGTAATTATTGACGAGTCGACGTTTTCACTGCGAAAAAATTAACTCTAAATTACTCAGAGAACCTACCAGTAAAGTTAAAATCGCGAGGTTTGGAACGCTTGGAATACTTGTATAATATTATTATCAATGTTACCTTTTACAGAGAATTACATTTATATGTACATATTTAAAGATGAAATTTTCACGTATGGTTAAAAGTATGTTTAACATTGATCTACTTGAGATAATTCTTCAAATATCGCTAAGAGTTATACAATATTTTTGGTCATATGTATATACATACGTATATGTATGTATTTTATTAGATATATATACATGTTACTGTTTGTGTAATTTTACTAATAATTAGTACTCCATTCTTCATACACGGTACAAATTTATTAAAACATATATTGTGTACAATTTCTGAAAATGTACAAAAATATGCTATATATATATATATATATATATAAAAAGTTGTAAAATATATATAACAAGAGATAAGAACAACTGCACTTTTTTTTTATAGCTAAACGTGGCCACCTTCCTTTAATTTAGCAATCAAAGTATCAACATCCGGTAATATAGCACCAGCTTGCCTAACTGGCGGGTCTACTACCGAGAGTATTTCAATTCTTGATGTTATATCAATCCCAAGATCCTTTGGAGTGAGTTTCCTGATAGGTTTCTTCTTAGCTTTCATAATATTCGGTAGAGTCGCGTAACGTGGCTCATTCAAGCGGAGATCAGCACTCAAGACCGCAGGAGTTTTCATTTTAATAACTTCTAATCCCCCGTCAATTTCACGTGTGACAGTTAATTCACCATTATTGTGTTCAATCTGGATAGAAACAAAGAAGCAAAATGTTACATAACATGCATATGTATAATACAGTATAGTTACAGTAAAATTTTGCTATATATCTTACCTTACTGCAAAATGTTCCAGATGGCCAGTCCAAAACACCTGCGGTCATTTGCGCGGTTTGATTATTATCGTCATCTATAGCTTGTTTACCAAGTATCACCAAATCCACTTTTTCTTCCTTAGCCAACTTTGCCAGAAGTTTGGAGACATGAATAGGCTGCAGTGTCTGATAATCGGAACCCGATACTTCTATATGAATCCCACGGTCCGCACCCATAGCGAGTGCAGTCCTGATTGTATCTTGCGACTGTGTTGGTCCGCAACTAACCGCTATCACTTCCTGGGCAATCTTTTTTTCTTTTAGTCTAACAGCTTCCTCTATGGCGATCTCATCGAAAGGATTCATCGAATGTTTAATACCATCCATGACGACTCCGGTCTTATCAGGTTTCACGCGAATCTGTAAAGATTAATTTCTCAATAAAAAAATGTTACTTAAGAACTTGTCCTGTTATCGTCATCGATTAATTGTCTTGTCCTTCATAACGTACTGTCAGAAAAATTTTGGACGTTTAACATCTTTAATATTATTAATAAAATTCATCAACGTATAATCCATTCTTGTTACCTTTACTGCATAATCGATTACTCTTTTCACTCCAACGAGTACGCGTGCCATTTTCGTTCGACTAAGAAACTGTGAGTGACTGATCTTTGCAAATACAGCCGATCAATTATCCTTAATATAGTACTGGCGACAATCTCGTAATCACTGGACGTAGCTAAAAGTCTAAAGTCCTAATGAATTCGATTGGATGCACTATGAAGCGGGATTCTATAACTGTTTACCGACTGTAGGATCGGTACATGTCGTTGCGCTGCTTTTTTGCCATATATTAGGGAGAATTCGACAGAAAGGCAGCAGCCAATTAGAACTCGAGTTTCTGCTTTATCTACTGCTCACTACCAGCGCGAGTTTTGATTGAAGCTTTTCTGTTTTTCTGTCAATTAAATTCAACTCTTTCACTTGGAACTGTCCAATCGTATCGTTGTCAGCTTGACGCGATTGGTCAGTTCCAATGGAATTTAGCGTTCAGTGAATTCTTGTATATTTTTTCAGATCTAAAAATATACCCCAATCAAAAGCAAGAACGCCCAGTGAGCAGCTCGTGGATGCATCAAATGTAATTCCCGAACGCAACCTAGGTTGTTACTTTGGCGCATTTCTATCAGACTCTGGCCCTCTCAACTATTCAAGAGAACGGAACGAATGGCACGTGGATCAACCAGGTTAATGAAATTTTCCCGGATGTTGAATGTTGTTTAAATTGTATTCGTAATGGATAGAACGAAGCAAGAAACGCATCGGCCAGGTGCGCTTAAACAAACTAATAAACAACACAAGACCGGCAGGCATCGTAGCAAAAGTGCTATTAATAATGAGCAGAAAGGTAAGTAGATCTTTTGTAAACATCAAATCTTATAGCATGGAACAATAATTGTGATAATTTTTGGTTAATTTCATTAGCGACAAAATTTTCCTCGAGAGAACAACAAATAATTGTTAATATCATAGAACATATTTTTACGTCCTATACCAATTTTCTTTATTGCAGGTAAACAAAATATTACCAAGGTATGGAAACATCTGAGAAAGAATTTAGGGAAGGATGCACGTAGACACCAGTTGTCGCAAATAAGAAGAAAAAGACGCGAGGAAATATTAATTCAGAAAAGAAATCTTAGTGGATTTAATTCTGTACCTCATCTTATCTCGATCATACCATTGCGAAGTGATACAGATGTCCAAGATATAATATCCATTATAAAAAGTATAGATGAAACTGCTAATATTGCTACTAGTCCAAGTGGAGTCATACATATAGGGTATGCTGTGAAAAGTTATTAGAAAATGAGTTCAAAACTAAATATTCATTGATCTTACAATTAAATATATAGCATACCAAGGTTCAAGCAGCGATTTTCCATTATTGTACCACTGGTGAGTAATGTTCTTGCTACTTTGGATTCAGCCAAAGTGGCTAATACAATACTCTTTGTAAACTCTGTCAAGAGTGAGATAGACCATACAAAGAAGGAAGTTATAGACGATTGGGGCAAGGAAATTATTGTATCTTGCCTTGCTCAAGGCTTACCTGCTACTATTGTTGCAGTACATAATATTCAAAAACTTCACGTTAAAGTAAGTACAGTAGTGTGTTGGATTTGGATAAAATTATACCAAATTATTCTGTTAGTTTCTCCATCAAACCATCAAACAGTTATTCGTAGTAAATATTAATCTGTATGTTTCAAACGGTACAATAGAAACGTCAAGAATACAAACAATCTGTGCAAAGTACGGTCTCGAAATGGATTCCCGAAGAAAAGATATTTGAGCTTAATACCGCGGCTGATTGCTTAAACATATTACGTCGAGCTGCATCGCAGAAACAAAGAAGTGTAGTTTACAGAGATAAAAGACCACACCTTCTAGCTGAGAAATTCTCCTTTAAAAATAATGGAGTATGTTGGATTATGAAAAACGTTATTTTTATGTAAACAACACGTGATAACAATTTTCATTTTATTCAGGGCTCTTCTGATTTCGGGACTCTCTCGATTACTGGACACTTACGGGGTTCATACCTTTCGGTTAATAATTTGATTCATATACCGGGTTTTGGAGATTTTCAGATGTCGCATATCGAAGCATCAGACGATCCGTATCCAATTGAACGCAAAAACCGTTCTGAAGCCGAGATGGATGATGAAACATCTACACGTATTCTACAAATTGCAGATATTGAAGACCAGGTTTTTGCACAATTATTTATGCTCTTGATCATTCATTTATGATATATGATTGAACAGCAATAGTGTGTGCTGTGTATATCTAGAATGCATACAATTTTTAGGAATCTCTTGAAAGTGAAAATATTCCTGATTCAATGGACGCTGAACAGACGTGGCCTACGGAAGAAGAATTGGTTGAAGCAGCAGCTAAAATGAAGAAAAAGATTGTAAAAATTGTGCCAAAGGGCACTTCCGAATACCAAGCTGCCTGGATACCGGATGAGGATGCAGGTATTACACATCTTTCTTTGATTCTTTTTAATTTCTCCTCTTTCAAAATTTTCGCTTTTCAGATATTCTCAGCACTGATTCCGAAGACTATATGTCTATGGAAGAGGTAAGGTCTGTAGACAGCGATAAAAATCTAGAAGATGATGAAGAATACGAAACTATTACGATATCGGAAGCACCTTTGGATGAGGAACATTACGATCAAGATATTGATATGCTCGAAGAGAAGCAAGCTATGGAAAAGTTGAAAGGTTAACATATGCAGTCGTTATCTTGTCCATGCTCTTTTGGTGTATCTTTCATTGCTATTTTAATAATTTTGTGACAAACACGCAGAAGCAAAGCTGGATGCGCAATTTCCCGATGAAGTGGACACACCTCAAGATATATTAGCTAAAACGAGATTTCAGAAGTATCGTGGTCTCGAGTCATTTCGTACTAGTCCGTGGGATCCGAAGGAAAATCTCCCCGTAGATTACGCTCGGATATTTCAATTTAAAAATTTTGATCGCACACGGAAACGTATTTACAAAGAACGCGAGGATGAAGGAGGAATTCAGGTATTCGATCTAGCTTCCAAGTTGGCGCTGCGTCTCTCGAGGATTTCTATCCGACACGTTTCGTGAACATTTTACTTCACTTCCGCCCTTTTTATTTTATATTAACAGATAAAATCTTATAAGGCATACACATGCATATACATCGTGTTGAATTTATTATCACTTAGATGTATGTTATTTCAGCCGGGCTCGTATCTAACAATTCATATTCTTCGCGTTAGTAGTGAAACTTTTAAGGCATTTGCCATGACGGAGAATCAACCATTGGTGGTGTTCGGTTTATTACCGTATGAAAAGAAAATGTCTCTTCTGAATATAGTGTTGAAACATTCAAATAATGACGTGCAATCGATCAAGTCGAAGGATAGATTAGTTTTTCAGTGCGGATTTAGGAGATTTGCGGCGTGTCCAATATTTAGCCAACATACGAACGGCACTAAGCATAAAGTAAGCCGGTAAAATTGTTTCATTTATTATTGTAAAGTATGTTTTATAACTGAACCGAGAACATATATGTAATGTGAGATTTTACTGCGATAAATATGTTTCAGTATGAGAGATACTTCCATCCTGATAGTACCATTGTAGCGAGTATGTACGCACCAATTATATTTCCACCATGTCCAACTCTTTGTTATATTGAAGATAAAAACGGCAAGCTCGTACGTACTTTATTAATGTTATTAATATTATGCTAAAATTATTAAAGCTATTGTGCACAAAACTAATGGTGAGGTTATTGCATTAAGTATTCAATAATATTTCTTCTTTATTAAAGGAGTTAATTGCAACTGGAAGTGTGCTGTCCTGTAATCCCGACAGAATTGTCGTGAAACGAGCTGTTCTAAGTGGTCATCCGTATAAGGTGAACAAGAAATCAGCAGTTGTGCGTTTCATGTTCTTTTATCGCGAGGATATCGAATGGTTCAAGCCTGTCGAATTGAGGACGAAATATGGACGTAGGGGACATATAAAGGAATCTCTTGGTAAATCGTACATTAGTATTATATCACTAAGGTGAATGTCTTCAACGCAATATTTAATGTTTTCATGATTTCTTACAGGTACACACGGCCATATGAAGTGTGTGTTTAATGGACAACTAAAATCGCAAGATACAATTCTGATGAATCTGTATAAGCGAGTATTTCCAAAGTGGACTTATGAACCATTGTTTTTAACACAACCATCGTGTCAGCCGGAAATCATGCATGTGGAATAATTGTTATTATGATTAAAATACAATATTAAGATTGGACGGCCTTCATTTCTTGGAACAGGAGGAGTAATTCCATATATCACATAATATATCGGAAGATAGTCCGGAAATACTTGGTGAAAAAATGTCACAAAGGAGGGGGGAGGTAAAAAGATTCAAATTTCGCATGATATAATTGTTAAATGGTAGCCCCTTTTCAAGCATGGCATTCCTTTCAAAATCATGGATAAAGGCGGGGAATACGTGTTTCGCGTCATGAAAGAATTGGTATTTGCAGTATTTCTGGACGTCACTTTATTGTACATACATAACCAAAAGACCTTTGTACAAAACACTTTTGTGTATCTCCGTTACTTTTCGATTTACCATCGAGAACGTGAACAGCGCGAAGTAATGTCTCACCCTCTAGTCCGAAATCGGATAGATTGAAAGAAATGCTTATCTCTCTTATCCTTACGATATTATCCTACACAAGACAAACCAACTTTCGTTTAAAATCAAAGAGAAATTCCACACGGGGGGGGGGGGGGTTTCTCTTTCCCTTTTTTACAAGTATATGAAGTATGTCGCCACTTAGGATAGCAGGAGAACGCACTAAGTCGCGCCCAATCTCGCCGATTCGGTCGAAAACCGGATACAAAACGCATGACGCATAAAATAATGATTAATAGTGTATCGATTACTTGTTGCTTCCACAATTTCAACGATGCCATCCTTCGGCATCGCGAAAATTATTATTAACCCTATCATGCATCGTGTTTATTGCGGTAAATATCTACTTTTGGTCTCTCTTATAGCCCTACAATAAATGTCTCAAGCTCACATCAGTGAACGTCATATATCTTCTATAATTCTGTGTTAATTATAAAAGATTTAATCATAATTTTATTGTATAATCGTAAGATGGCTTACTAAGTAAGATCTCGTTTATGTTTCTGGTCGTAACTTAACGTAAGATCAGGATGTTCCTTCCTTTTTGTTTTTTGCATTAAAATTCGCGCATGAAAGGGTTCATAATACGATTCTGCGCTTTCGTCAGTGAATCGCGACCGATCAAGCTCGGAGGCGCGCGCGTGAAAGAAAGCTGCGTGTCGCTTAAACTAAATCGTGGGTGAAATTGCGCGTGTGTGGGTGAGTGTATCTGTCTGGTGCTTATATACTTACCTAAAAGTTCTATTATCGCGATCGAGCAGGGGAGGGGAGACAGGATCAATCGCTCACTTTGCGAAGAATTTGTGCAAAACACACCCGTCTCGTTCTTGGACGACTGATCGGAAAATTATGTACACGTCATTGTACTCGCCATTATGTGAGAAGAAACGAGTGAGTGAACGGGAGAAAAAAGTCGCGTAAAATAAAAACAGTGTGCGAGGGANGAGAGAGAGAGAGAGAGAGAGAGAGAGAGAGAGAGCATGATAATGATCGCTTATAGTGCTACACATATACCACGGCCGATATATGTCAACGAATATATATACATCGTACAGTTAGTTTATTTGATTACTTTTAGTAAACCAGCATCCGAAGCGCTTACATCTAATAAGAACTAATGTTAAGACACTTAATCGTTACACGAGCTCGAAAACCGCTTCCACTGTCGTACGTTACAACGTAAACATCTCCGAATTTCGTTCTTTTTCTCACGTGTGCAAAATCGCATCATCGCGAACGCGCGCAGCGTTTCAACAACGTTGAGTTTTTCTTCCGCCGTGTTCTTAACTGAATCCTGTGGAATCCGTCGGAATTACGCAAGCTTCGACAAACGAAAGTTGCGTCCCCGCGGAAACGAGGGAGATCAGGCAAGGATTCTTGTGAAAAAGCGAATCGATGTCGAATCGCGAAGAGAAGAAAGACAGAACACGATCCTCGCGCAACGCTCCGACGTTCGAACCGCGTTTCATCCGGTTATTTGAAAGAGAAATTAAAGAAAGAAATGAAAGGAGAGATCAGGATATCTGTTATGGAGATGCTCGGAAAGATTTCCGACCGTTCAGTTATTCTGTATATTTCTATTGCGTTTTCTAGGGAAATAACCGAACGATTCGGAAATATTTCCGAACAGTTCCGTATAAGTGGTCAGGACGAGGAATGCGAAAGCGGCGTAAGCGAACGATAAGCCCATCTCTCATGCGCAAGAGCATGCCTTATAACGCTGACAATTACACGACAATTGCATTTACTGATTGCACGTGGTTGACGCGCGTCTTGTGAACGAACGCAACACTGTATAGGCGAACGAAATGAAAAGGAACGAAATCGAATAGTAAGCAAACAATGGTTCTCTCTGTGTGTATGTGTGTCGCGCGCGTCATATAGAATTCTTCATTAAATTGATGCCTCGTATATTTTAAATCATCGCGAGAGAATAAAATCCAGCGTAACCGTTTAGCGTATGAAAATTATTCTATCTTTCTCTTCTATCCAAGCGGAAGTCGATGTTTCTTCATCCTTACAAACGGCGGAATCGCGTGTTAGCTGCGCGTAGCCTCCTCTCTCTCTCGACATTTAATGTACCGGCGCGCATATGATTGTCTCGTCGAGACGAGAAGCGCGACAAACGCACATCAGGAGTCATTTGTTACGGAATCGTAGCGCGCGGAGAAACGGGGAAACAGAACTCGAGCAGTCGAGAGTTTCATTGTGATTGATGGTTCGGTGATTTGCGCGCGCGCGCGATCAAGCGAATCGCTCGAGTATTATCGCCTATGTTTCTCTACGCACCGTAGGGGGCGCGGTGAAACCTTATTCGGTGATGCAAGAAAAAAATAAATCTTTTACATGGCAAGCAAATTGACTTGATCACTTTGATGACTCGAAAACGTTACACAGAAAATGATCCTCGCGTCCGTATGCACAATTTTGATTATCTAATTTACCTATGTACACATGTCCGGATAAAATCAAGCGGGAGAGAAGTGCGGCATATTGTGTGTGCATGTATGTGTGCCATAAGAATATTCCCTATTGCGTCGCAATAGCGGCCGCGTTGCTTATAACGGCCAATGTATAAAATACGTTTACACATATCCCCATATTAAATCGTCGGAAACTCATTTACAGCATTTCTTCCTTTTTCTTCTTCGAAATCAATAATGTTACGAGCACGCCCTCTCTCATATTCGCAGAAGCTGTCGACCTCTTATAAATAATCTACCTATCTCGCAAAGTTTTTCTCATCATACGTCTACTATGTACTGTCGTAGTGTAGAAAAGAACGAATCCCGTTACACAATTACAATTAAAAGACGTTCGTTAATAGCTCCTCTTAGAGAGAGAGAGAGAAAAAAAAACCAGAAAAAAACACTGACACAAGCTTTTACGTTCTTCGACGAACATATTACGCTGACAGGATATATAAAATATGCGCTACATTAAAATATATATATGTATATATGTATATGTCTATATATATATATATATATGTATACGAATTTAGTTTTGGTAAAATATTAATTATAACGGCCTATCGCTTATTAAATATACATTTCGTCCGCCTAATAGTCGACGAAAAATAAAATCAACACGTGGATATAAATCAAAATTTATACACTTAAAATTGTATACTTATTAGCTGTAAATAAGAAGATCATAAGAATAATTCCTCTCTTAAAATTATATCTATGTACCTAGATCATAACGTGGCACCACACTCTCTGTTCAGCGCGGATCCCATAATTTTACAATCACAGGGTACGCGCGAGTGCAAATTAAAAAAAAAAAACTATATAAGCAACGTGCTACTTTCTGCTCGCGAATTTTTCGCGAATCCATTGGCTCGACAAGGAGACAATTCAGGGCACTTCTTTACTCTGCCTGTCTCTACTAGGCGCTGGACCATTTTACGGGCTATCTTTTTTTTTTTTCATTTTAACAGCAAGGATTCAGCATAATGTACAGGTATTGTACTTCGAGATCCTTCGCCGATAGATCGGGTTAAACTCGGCAATAATCGGGATTGTTTTCAGTTCTCCCTCTGTCGAGAGATACTGCATTTTTGTCCTCTCTTATTTTTTTTTTCTTTTTAATTCTACTTTCTCCCTTTCTCTCTCTCTCTGTTTTACAGAATACATATAACCCTCAATCCTCTCCCGGACATATATATTTGTACATAGCTATTATATCCAATGGAAAGTGTACATTAAAACCAACTGAATCACGTACGGTTCACTCACAACATCAAAAATAGACTATTGCAAGAGTGCATTAATATGTGACACCCTGTAGATAATTATTACTCAACTCAAGGTACCGTTTTTTCTTACACATTTCGTGACTTTCTTCTCCTGATGGAGTCTGAGACGTAGACGATATGTACAAATTTTGTATGATATCACAATATTACTCATATATAATCTCTCTCTTTTTTTTCCTCTCACTCTCTCTGAGCCATTTCTATTTTCATTACTTTTTTCTTTTAACGTCCACTTGTTTTTTTTTTCTTCAAATGCGACTTGACGAATTAGAGATACAAGTCGTTGATCCCGTATCGTTGGACTATAATATATCGCGGCACATGATACATTTAAGAATCTTGAGATCGTACATATGTATATATTACACAATAGATTGATTGTAATTGTTTTTTTTTCCAAGAAGTGTACCACACGTACATATTGCCTACGATACAGACTCGTCTGTAACTATAGCATAAAAAAAGCAATTATGCGTTAGGTGTGTTTTACGCTCGGCCGCGCGGTTTCTTTCGCGGAGATGCTTCCTCGGTCGGTAAAACACCGGTGGTGGCGGTCACGCGCTTCGGACGACCTGCCATTTTGCTGGCCTGCTGCGCGGCTTGAGCGGTACCTTGAAATTACATACACACGTAGCAATGAGAGATTACTGAATAAGTCCCTTCGATACACGTAGACACTTATCACGCCAACGTATCGTCTGCCGTTTTAATAGATATATTACTTACCTCGGGGTTTCGTCCTCGGGACGCCGGTGGTGTTGTTGTTTTGTTGCTTGCCGTTCTTCTTCATTTCGAATTTCTTCGCCTCCGCATTGTTCTTACTGTCCGCCGCATTAGTGGTGGCAGGACTCGCAGCACCCGTGGCAACGGCGACAGTAGTAGCACCAGCGGCATCGGTAGCAGCAACGGTGGTAGTAGCGGCTGTTGCAGTCGCATCATTGCCGTCGCTTTGTAATTTCGTACTTCTGTTCAGGGCTCTTTCCGCCCTGCTGCTGTTCTTCGCGACCGACTTAGCGATCGCCAACGATTTGTTGGCCGATCGTTTCTTCGTGCGGTTTGTCTTGGGCGTCTTCTTCTCCGATTGCTCCTCGTCCCGGTCGTCGTCCGAAGAACTCGTCGTTCGTTTCGCTTTCTTTCGTTGACCCGGCTTCTCTTTGTGAAGGCCTTTTCTTCTCTTCAGCTGTGACTCGTCTTTATACAGCGACAGGTCCACTGCGAGGAGAAAAAAGCTTTCCTTACCAAATTGTAAGTTTACAATCGCGTTTTTATCGAATTAATCGAGGAACAATTGAAATAGAGTTATCAGAGGCGGTAGTTTACGACTGAGTTACTCACAACCATCGGGATGTTCCTCTGTAACTCGAGGTGCTTCTGATATCCCGGCTTCCACATCGATGGCCCGTTTCAAAATATTCTCCGTGCGCAGCAACTCTATTTTGGTCAATTGGAATTTATTCTTGTCGATCTTGTTTAGATTCAAGTTTGTCAGTATGCAATCGAAATCTAAAAATGAAACAGTGGTATTAGGAAAAATAACTGCATGCATCACTGTGACGTATGTATGATAATATTAAAATGAAGACGCAGCAATACCTGTAAAATCGTAGAAATCTGGCGAATAGATTTCTCCGTTAGTTTTGTCCTGAGACAGCCAACGTATGCGAACGCGTCTGCTCGATTTGTAGATATTCTGCACCGCTTGGCAAACGTAGAAGCTTCCCTCGGCATTTCTCACAGCCAAAAATTCGTTTCTGATGTAAAAAGAAAGTTTGTACATCTCGAACGTGAAATTAAATTGTTCAGCGATGTATACTCACTTGTAGAACACAATGAGTTTCTCGTCAGTAGCTTTAGGTCCTGGAGTCTTGTTGAGGTTTTTCACCAGCAGTGCGATGTCTGGCAGCGGGCTCTGATAGAGGCGCGTTTGAACTCGATTCCTCTTGGGTTTACTCGCCCCATCGGCGACCGTGGACGCTCCCTTCAAATCTTTCAATTCTCGGGATTTTCGCTTGTTCATCTTCAAGGAAGTAATAACCTTCGTCTCAGGTTTTACTGTGCTAGCCAGCGGTGCAGCAGCAGCATTGTCAATAGTTGTCTTTATACTCTGATTGGTGGTGGGTTTTGCCTTTGTGACTTCGTTTTTAACTGGCGTATCTTCCGGCTTGTGTGGTGATTGTTTCGTATGTACAGGAGTATTAACTGCTTTGCCGTCCGACCCATTATTTACAGGAGTTTTCTTTTCCTCAACTTTATTTTGCGTTTGTACTTGCGCATGTGTGCATAGAGCTATAAAGACGAGTATAATTATACATAATTCCCATTGCATAAAATACTTTTATGCAGTGTAATTGTTTCAGCTACTATTGTAAAGAAAACAACTATCTAATCAGAGAGACCAATATACAGAGATTTTGTTAGCATATCGAGCAATATATTTACTTGATAAAAGAAATTACTCACCAGGAAAGTCCAAAGTTAACGACGTGAGCTCCTGTTCGGTGTGAATTTCACACGGTTGCTCCGCGGCAGGATTCTCCGGGCTTAAGTTGTTATTTCTGTTGGAGTCGGTTTGCTTTACGGGAGCAGGCACATCTTGTTCAAGTTCTGCTTTCGCTACCTCAACGCCATTCGGTATCAGTTTCTCAGTTTCCGGTTCCTTCTCCATACTACTGCCTATGTAAGACGGGGCCTGATATACAGAGGGTCTGTGATCTTGCACCAGGCTCAACGGTTGACTGGGTGGTTGCAGAGTAACGTAGCTCAGTCCGCTTCCCGACAAAGGTTTCATGGACCCACTGTCCGATCCCGCGACTTTCTGCGCCATGGCATTCATGGGCAACATCGAGTGGCTAGTGGAAGTCGACGACGTACCTACCCCGGGTATTGTTGATTTTAGGGCAGATGCGCTCATTTTCCACCAGAAGGAATTATTCTTTCTATTTACTTATATGAAAAGCAACAAAAGTATCTCTTATTATTCTTATTGAAACTTTAATATTCTATAAACGGAGAATACCAGTAAATAAGAAAACAATGACGATCAGACAGAATAAGAGTAAAGCTATTTTTACAGTAACCGAATGCAAAGTTAATTCGATGCGAAACTGTGTACACACTGTTATCCTACGTTTACCGCAAATTAAATCGGATATACATTTCCTATGTATCTTTCATTGTGAACCTATCGGTGCAATTAAGAAAAGAGAGGAAAAAAAATTCGCACGATAATGCAAAGTTTATATAACATAATTATCATAGTCTGAACATGAAACTCCCCGATTCCTCGGGCGGTACATCGCGCGCGATAATCATAATCCAGCGACAAAGGAGACGCGTGTTTACCTTCACCGACGGCGGGGAAGGCGCGAAAGCGGGAGTGGAGCGGCACGTCGGGACGAGGAAACGCGCGGTGCGTGGCGAAAAGCGGCGAGAAAATCGAGAAAGGCGGGACGGGACAAGTGGAGGATAAGGGGGAGGGGGTAATTAAAGGAGTAAACATAAACACGGGCGAATTTTCGTGGCGGAGACACACAGCTGGGAGTGCGCCGACGGGACAGTTTATTACCTGTGAGCTGCGGGAGCAGCCGGGGGGAATCCGCCAGCAACGCGGCACAGCCGAACGAGTCTCGTGCGGGAGGAGGTTGACCGCTCTCTACGTGCCAACGCACACGGTTAGCACGTACGTAGGAACGAACAGGCCGGTAATCAGCAGCAGCGGCCTATCATTTCGCACGGCGTGCTCGCGCCATAACGTGAGGATGCTGCCGAGATCACGATATTCGCACGAGACGCGCACTTCCGCACTTATGCCAAACAAAACTGAGAAGTTCCGCGCTTACACGGATAGCCCTGGGTTTTGTACCAACAGGAACGGGCAGGAATGCCAGTCGTTAGATGGCGTCCGTTCCCGGACGCCATGCGTAATTCAACGCGGTCTTGTTGCCGCGCGCCGATTCGCTGTGCCAGCGCGCTGTGAATATCATGGCCTTTTCGATTTCAGTTCGCTTGACTCGCCCGCGGTATTCGCTGTGATCTTATACATCAGCTAGAAATTACGGCAAAGATTATCGACTAATGACAAACCGGTTCTTCGGACTGCAATTTTAAAATTACAATTTTTTTACTTCCCTTCAGTATCAAGTCAACCGTGCCAATTAATTTATCTAGCCAGATACGAAAATAGTTTGCTCAACAGATTCAGATTCAATTTTTAAAGGGAATGCCAGAATTTACCGGAATTTACCAGAATATTTTCGGGCAAATTATTCTCGTCGTTGGCTACATAGGCCAGTATTCATAGTTGGAACTGTCTTAAGTTTATTTTCAGATGCTTCGTAGCCAATGAAATGAGCCGTAGAGCATCTGAAGATAAGACAATCCTAAATACAAGATCCGACTATAAATATTGGCCATAGGCTGAGATATTATATACGCTCGGTCGCAGAACCGGTTTTTGTTTCTCATATTTTGGAACACACAAAAATTATAACGAAGCGAATCTATGAATTGACGATCATGCGCAGTAAGCGCATGAAATTAAGCGGTCGCCATTTTTCGTTTAACTCGAAATATCGTGACGAAAATTAATGGCAACATTAATATAGTTAATGTGGTTAAAAACTAGAAATTTCAAGTTTTAAAGTGTTTCTTGAACGATCTCGGTAGCATCGTTATTGCGGAAGTTACAGCCTGTTGAATTTCGCCTATGTTTTTGATTTTAATAGAAAATACGTCTGACCAGCCCTTGAGTCATACTACTTGAGAAATAGAAAGTACGTCCATCGTTTAGTCATATCACGACCTCAGCTTCTCATTAAGCACAGTAGCGACTCGTAGCGGAGAATCAAATAACGGGTCTAATAATTCCGCAAACCCGTTTTTTCTGTAATTTGATTCTCCGCTACGAGTCGCTATTATACTTAACAGGAATGATGCTATCGAGATCGTTCAAGAAGTACTTTGAAGCTTCAAGTCTCTAGTTTTTAACCACATTAGTTATGTCGTCGTTTAATTTTTATTTACTTCAATATTTTCTGATCCTTATCGTTAAAGTGCTATTATAAGTTTCAACTACTACATTTTATATATTATTTTATATTTTGCCCAAGACGCTTGCCGTTTCATTTGATATCGTTGTAATTAAGCGGCTGTATCTCCCTCCCAACATGGCCGATCGTCACGTGACTGCTACATCAAAGGAACCGACAGCTTTTGTATATAACTGTGACAACATTTCAAAAGAGAATACCGCCTTAAAAAATAACGAAGATACTCGAGCGATATAGTATAAAAATGCGTTTTAATAAATATCAATAGAAAAAAAGTTACAGAAAATATCTACAGGGATTACAAATATCAATATAAAATTATATGTCCCGCAACATAATAACATTATCGAAAACTCTTACGAGTAATATTTGTCTCAATGCATCTAGCCTTAATATTAGTCGTATCGTATTAGTCACTATCGCTATAGGTAGTTGTAATACTCATCATTGACACCCGATTGAGATATTGTCGACTTGCGTAGTTTCGCGCTGACACGCGCGTGTCAGACTACATATTTATAATAATAAATAGTAAGCCATTCTCGCAACACTGTGTAATCAACGACGATTGGAATTCTTACAACAGCGAAATGACGAGCTCCAAGGATACAGTCTCGTGTCCCATAAACGAGAGACGATTCTCATTCTGATAGATGAAGAAATGATTACAAAGGAGGCCCATTTCCGCAAGTGTTAAATGAGTTACAGATTACAAGGCACTAGTAAGAACTCAATTGTCGCTCTCTTCCTTATATTCATCGTATCCACTATCGCGGATAACGAAAGAGCTTTATTTATCATTACATAGGATTGGTGGAACATATCAAGTGTTCCGCCTCGAAAGTATCACTTTTCCAAATTTCCTAGCGCGACGTTTCCGTCTTTTCTGAGGAACAAACTGGCCGAAAGAATCTGTATTGTTAACTAATTCGCAATGACGAACTATTTACCGGCCCTCGATGCAACGTATATAAAGCGAGAGAGAAGGGGGGGAGAGATTTCATCCCAGCAAAACTGCAGAATAGGTAGGCACTGTGGTGGTACGTGCAGTGAAACGATTAAAATATATACAGGGTATCTCAGTTCTTATGACTTTTAATTTTATCGACAATTTCTCTGAACAATTTCAAGTTAACTTTTTCCCAACAGCAATATCAAGGCACCAATAATTTCCGAGATACAAGCAATTGAAAATGTTGTACTTCGAGCGACCACCAAATGGACAACAAAATTATTTTCTCCGATTTATTTCAAACATACTTTAACACGTTCACGCCGGGGCCGATTTTCATGTTTTTCGCTGTGAGACAGCGCTCGAATTCATGCTGGGCTTCATCTGGCGGCGCCAGATTATTTAAATTTTCAACTATACGGCAATTTTTTCCAGTTACTAAACGAACTATATTTTTTATGGTGAGCGGCGTCTAAACGAATGTTCAAGCGTGACCCACCGGTGATGCACGCCGGCGTGAACGTGTTAATAGAATTTTAATTTGAGATTTTACTAAAAAGATATGTTGAAGACTGAAAAGTTGTCATAAACTACGGACTTTCTCTATATTTTCACCGAAGGAAAAATTAACTCTAAATTATTCAGGGGACCTTTCGGTAAAATTAAAAGTCGCGAGAATTGGGACATCCTGTACATCACGGTTGAAAATGAGATGTTCTGTATAAGAAAAAGAGATTTAAATATTCGTTCGTCGAAATAATTTCGTGCATTCCCTCAAATATACGGCTCTTACGCATAAGCACCATTAAACTTACGCTCTTCTTACGGTTCTCTAGGAACACTACGTTTAAAAAAAAAGAGAGATATACCAACTTCTGATTACAGGAACATTCGTAGATAAATCTGCTTTTACTACCTTTATAATCGTCACGACCCTACTGCGTTCTCGTTTACAATTGTAACGCTCTTATGTAGTGAAGATTTTCTTTGGGATACATTTGTATGTACAATCGGTAGCCGTAGTTTACTGCGGTTCTGTACGAGAAGGAACGATTGCGTATTCCTATTTTTTCTCTTTAGGAATGTGTTTGGTCCTAAACGAGTTAAGCGAGTATACCGTTGCACTCACATTCGAACTTGATATTCCACCGCAGCGGAAGATACAATAATGTCGTCAAATAATTTTGTCGAATCAAATCAATCGTAGACGACCTTTTATCGTAGCATAGTATATACATTATCTGCTGAGATTTACAGTAATTATATTCTTGTTCTCGGAGAAACTTGTGTGAATAGCATGTGATACGTGTCATATGTGCTATGGCATCTTTTGCAATAAATTTAGGCTAGACGTATAACATCCTGCCTGGCATATGAAAAGATATACGATAAGAAGAGGAAAGACCGTTTGAAGAGAAATTGGCTTGGTCGATGCTCGTGAAGTCATTTATACAATATTAGTGAGCATTGCAATCTGACGCCAAGTTTGTCGACATCGCCCTATGAAGACAAGAGAAACTTGGTCATTTACGCGAATAAAAGCAGGCGAGAGTCGCCTGATGCATGCGCCAGTCACCTGAATCATGAGATTCCATCATTTTTTTCTGCAACTACCATGCAGCATGCGCTCTCTTTTCATGCCTTTTCCTTATCCTTTATAACTTGACAAGCACCTTATTTATTTACAAATGACGGTTTGAACGAACATCAGATTAGGAGGTTAATAAACTAATGTTGCTCAACTAAATAGCGTGCTCCTGTGGTATATTTACACATAATTCCATATCAGTATAACTCTCTCTCTCTCTCTCTCTCTCTCTCTCTCTTTCTCTCCTTCCCTCCC